AAAAAAAAAAAAAAAAAAAAACTTGGCCAAGGCCATTTGGTCTGCAGGTGCAGGTATCTTTGATTTTACCTTGTTATGTAAGTTTCTGTGGTAGGCTGGGATCTGGAATCTATCATTTTAAGTCTTCTAGTTCCCTTTAAAAAAAAGTATTTTTGAACATAAGGTAGATGTCTACTTGACCCTTAGAATTTCATACCTTCTGAATTAACTTCTCCAGAGACTTAAGCTCAGTGGCTTTTTTTGATTGATCCCTAACAGAAACACTGAAAGCCTCTTTGCCTCTTCAGGAACAATAGATTGTACTTGTCCAGTAGATGAAATATGAAAGCAAAGTCATTCTTGACATCAGCAGTACCACTCTAGCTACTCCCATCCCACATTAGGTCAAAGGATCCTGCCTATGAGTTTCTAATCATCCACAAGAAACTATAAATGCTGTACCTATCTCCTGTCCAGAACACCCTGCAGCTGGACTGAATTTCTTTTGTGTCCTCACTTTGAACAACTGGGTTTAGCCCCGACAATGCTCTTGTAGTCCATGGTGAGCCAAAGCACTTGTGTAAAATGGAAAAAATGGTCCAGAGGTGTATTAGAGCTTGGGTAACTAAGCCAAAAAATTGCCCACCTTTATAATGCCTATGGCAGCAACATCAGGAAGATGTATTCATGGGTAGATGGTCGGTCAATGCTTGTAAAGTAAATATGTTGTTTAAGCTCAGGCATCTTGTAGATTGTTATATAAAGTATTCCTCAAACATACTGCAAACGCATTAACTTAGATGTAATGAAAAGAAGACATCTCACCAGGGCTAAAGAACATGCTAAACAGACTGACAAAGGTCTTCAGCTCCCCTGTTCTAGCAGCATGCTAAGCATTTCAAATAAACAGCATAGTGCTGCACTATTTACAGTATTTATCAGTTTTCATTTCAATCAACAAATTGCAAATGGTTGAAGTGTTTCGTAATGATTTCAGATTTTATAATACAAAGCATTTTTAAACATTTTTGTGCTAATATGTAGATAGGGTTTACCCATTTACCTCAAAGGTCAAAATGTTCCAATGTGTTAAATAAACAGATAGGGCATATTTTGAATTTATACTTTGCATAAATGTATACTTTACCCCACTATGATTGCACATATTGAAGAGAGAGAGAGAGAGAGAGAGAGAGAGAGAGAGAATTAAAGTTCCTAACTACTTGAAGACATATGGAGGAAAAAATATTGCCACAATATTAATAGTGTTTCAGGGACAAGCCTTTTTGAAGGTCAAATTTACTGGTTTATGTTGATCTTTTTACAACTGTGTTTACAACGTCCTATGAAACAACATTAACAAAATAAAATTATTACATGACAATGTGTAATAGCATCGCTTGTGTTATTTATTCTATTATTTTATTTATCATGGGTTTATTTAAAAGAACAATACCACAGGAAAAAAAAATAGTGTGTGCTGTAAGTGATCTCTATTCAGTTTTTTTCTGAAACTATCCAGTGCTGACTGGAAGCCAATTAAATATTAAATGCCTAAGATAAAAATGAAATACAGGCAATATGAATTCCCTTTAAATTAGAATAATTTGCCCCAAAAGGCACACATACTGAGATCATCTATTATTTAATGTCAGCGTTTTATGGACCCCTGGGGGACTGTGAAGGTATTGCAAAGGGAGAAGATATGCAATATGTATAGAATTGTATTTTTAAATGTCTATGATATTTTTCTCTATTTGAATGACTAATGGATTGATAAGAATTATGTAATAATGTTAGTTTTTTATTTTAGTTTATTTGTTTATTTCTAAGTGGGGATCACTGAGTCTATAAAATCTGAAAAACCCTGATTTTGTATAGACTTCATTGTATAGTGCAGCCATAAATGAAAGAATATGAACAATTATCTAAGCTAAATTTGGTGATTTAACTGGCAAATAATTTGAGTCAAATATAAATGTATAGATTCAAATAAGAACAAAATTGTTTAAAATTATGGTTGAAAGATTAGCAGACAAATTAGACATCCAGACTCCGGATGAGCTAGACTAAAATAGCAAGCTTTTGAGATTCTATTCATAGACAGTTTATGAATAGAATCTCCAGCACATGCTATCCCTAGCAGTTGCTGGGAAGTTTTATTTAAACTCTGTGAAGAGATAGGCTACACTTTTCAATTCTTCTTTTACTTGGTTAGCAGGAATAGTCTCTAGTTCAGTGAACCTGTAAATAATAGTTATATGACATGAAACTATAGCCTATTCCAAGCAAAATATTCACTGTCTTTGAATAGAATCTCCAGCACATGCTATCCCTAGCAGTTGCTGGGAAGTTTTATTTAAACTCTGTGAAGAGATAGGCTACACTTTTCAATTCTTCTTTTACTTGGTTAGCAGGAATAGTCTCTAGTTCAGTGAACCTGTAAATAATAGTTATATGACATGAAACTATAGCCTATTCCAAGCAAAATATTCAATGTCTTGAGATGATCAAAACGAAACTTTTGTTCCAAGAATCGTGGGATCTTAAATCTTGAGATGTTAATTATGTATTTACTGAATTAGGCTACATTAAAAGTGTTAAGCTAATATTCATCACGTATATGTGATTACAGCGCCATCTGCAGTGTTAAAATTCATGTCGACAAATGTAAAAATTTAGAAAGCTGATCAGAGACGCACAAACCAGGACCCACCAGGACCTTTGATTTGGCTCCACACTGCAACTTCACAAGTGGGTGGGGGAAAAGCCATTGAAACATATCTTCATATCTTATTAATATTTTTGTTTCTTTTTTCCATTTTTTTAACTTTTTGCATTGAAATTTGAAAAAAAAAAAAAACGTGATTTTGATTAAAAAAAAAACGTAATAAATGATAGTAAAAAAATATATAAAAATAATTTTTGGCCGTTCGTATGAACTTTATGTTGACATTAGACAATTGGTGACATATGCAAGAAGTAATAGATGAATGATTAATTTAACTCAAGACTACAAACATAAAACTTCTGCCCCGAGGCACATTTTGCCTGCAGGACCTTTTTCTTTCAATAGAGGTGCAATCAAATTAAGCGAGACCATTACAAACGTGAGTAAAATTGCTACTGTCTGAAAACTGAAAGGGTATTTTTAGTTCATATGATTAAGAAATGTAAATAAAGTCGTCTGTTTTACGCCTCTGACTGAACCCTTTGTTGTGTCGTTCAATATGGTTCATTGTTTCGATTATGAAAGGTAAACGCTTCTTTCTTTCTTTATACTTACAGCTTCAATTAGACCGGTACTGATCATCTTTTTGCATGTTTTCATTTTTTTCCTGACCTGTTTGTCGCGAAGACCATAAATTACAAATTAGACTGCCACTAGCTTAATACCAATGAATAATTTTTGAGTTAGATCTTTCAAGTAGGTCAGAAAACCGGTCTGAACGATTGCTGAACCAGTACACACGTGGCTTTGTATGTTCTGTCCACACTTTATGATTATCCTGTATTATGTTGAAAAACCACTCAAATAGCTACATTTCTGTTTTCAGGGCCACCCAACACTGGTTAAAGCCCTGTCAAAAGTATATGGAAAAGTCTATGACCGTCAGCTCGACCCGTTTAAAGAGATCCTGGCTACAGTAGGTGGATATGGATCTTTGTTCAGCACTATGCAGGCTCTGGTTGAGGAGGGAGATGAGGTAAAGTATATTTAGCACTTTCAATATATAATTGCACTAGATTATGACTTATGCATTCTCTCTACTCTTTTTTTTTTTTCTCCCTTTTTCAATTCAGGTTATTATTATAGAACCCTTTTTTGACTGCTATGTTCCTATGGTGAAAATGGCAGGGGGGAAACCTGTTTTAATACCTTTGCGATTGGTAGGTTAGCAGGATGAATATTGCTTGCTGTAGTGTTTGCTGTATTTTTTCATGAAACATAACACTTGTTTGACCTGTTCTGCAGAAGTCGTCACCAACAGCAACCAGTGTAAGCAGTGCTGACTGGGTTCTGAACCAGGAAGAACTTGCTAGTAAATTCAACTCCAAGACCAAGGCTATCATAATCAACACTCCTAATAACCCTATTGGAAAAGTAAGGTCACATATTGTATTTAGATCCAAAATGCATTTTAATATCCTAAAGCTCTCTTCCACTTCCAGATATTCAGTAGGAGTGAGTTGCAAGCTATTGCCGATCTCTGCATCAAACATGACACCCTGTGCTTCAGTGATGAGGTATATGAATGGCTCGTATATAAAGGCCATGAGCATGTAAAGATAGGTATGTGATAATTCTCCAGTGGTGCACCTTATCTTTTCATGTCAGTGGATTACAAGTTGTATAAAGATGTGCTGATTCTGCTATATTCTTTCTTAACAGCAACCCTCCCTGGAATGTGGGACAGAACCATCACTATCGGCAGTGCAGGGAAAACATTCAGCGTCACTGGATGGAAGGTATTTGACTGTTATTGTCTTCATTGTTTATATTTATAATAGTAATTCATCCAAAAATGAAAGTTATGTTATTATTTACTCACCGTCCTGTCAATTCAAACCCTCCTGCTGTTATTTTTCTCTGCCGAATAATGATTTTTAAGATTTTAAAGACTCCAGTCTCCAACAAGGAACAAAAATCCATAAAAGCAACCTAATGTCGATAAGAGCTATGAAATCTTATTCAAACTTCAGATTAAGAAATTATGCATCATGGCAAGTTTGGTGCCAGATCACCATAGAGTGCAACAGTCAAATTCCAGAAGGAAAAATTTCCATAGATTTTCTCCATAGAGGAATTGATTTTTAAGGATAACTCATAAACCTTTAAAACAGACCTACTGTTTTTTAAGCACATCATTTCATTTCATTTCATTTTGTTGTTTAAATGCAGAGTTTGCTTTTGAAATGCTTTCGAAAACTCTGCAAAAAAAATTAAAAATTAAAAATCATCAATCGGAGAATCGAAATGAACAAATTGCATCAAAATAATTTCTAGTGTCCACTTGCCTACCCACTCTCATGAAGCACTGTTAAACACGTAATAGAGCCAATCTCCCTACATTCTTAAACTACTTAAATATTTGTATTCATCCATTGTTTTTATTTCATATTGCTTCCTGCAATTAGAGTTTTTACCCTGTCTAAATACCCACACTTGTGGTCTTGGCCGCTTGAGAGCGTGTGCATGCGACAGGAAGTAAGTGCGCAAGACTGTCCCAGGTTTTAAAAAATGCCAAAGCGCAGTGCCCTTAACGCACACTAAATTCACACTATCTTCAATACCGCTCCGGAGTGGTATTCAAGGCTTAGTGTATCCCATCATGCATCATGTTTTGGAATAAATCGTAAAACTTTTTGCCAAGATCTCACGAAAGGTCACGGAAAGCTTTCCAATTTAATTTAATAATTATTAGATATTACAAATCATTTGGTTGTAAAACAAAGTGTTGCACGTTTTATTGGTGCAAAGATAATTATATTTATTTTGTACAACATTTAAAAATGCTTTTTATCACTTAATTAGAAGCACCACAATTTAAATGTAAATTTATTTTAAAATGTGAAGTATTGAAACTAAAAATAAATCTCTGTAAACACTTGCATTTTTACAAAACTTTTTTTACAAAAATGCCTTAGAAGAAAACATTACAGGTGTGCATCTTGACACAGAACAATGACACTGACATATTTTAAAATATGTCAGAGCAAGATATTTTCAGTTGAGACAAATCATACGTGCATTTTAGTCTGGGACTAGCTTAAGCCTCGTCTGTGAAACCGGGGGTAAAAGTGTGTCCCATCAGGTAATGAAAAGTTCTTCATGCTCACTTGAAGTAGTCAACTATAGACTACTATAAGTAGCCAAGTGGTCAAGTGCAAACACCAAAAGTGTGGGTATTTGGACAGGGCTCTAATTAAAGCCATTAAGTGATTAAGTAATTAATTTGAGCCATTGAAATCAATGATTGCAGTATTGTATTACAACTCTTTATTGAAGACATTTTAAAAATCCTTATGGGAAAATGAATTGGACAAATAATTCTGGAACCAAGGCTGCTGAAAAAGTGGGCACTGTTACACTATATTGGTTTTTGGGCAAGCAATGGCGAAGGTTTACTACAATTACTGTAATTAACAGCCTAAATATTTCTCTGTTTGAGCCTCTTCGTAAGCCACTATATATATATAATATATTGCACAAATGATATGAACCACTTTTATGGTTATTTTCGGTTCTTTTGAAGCTTGACATTGTAAACCATTGCATTTTTTTAGGTTGATCTTGACACATCATTATATGGTAGAGAGATGCTTTAGGATTCTTAAAACATTCTCCTTTTGTATTTCATGAAAAAAAAAAAAGTAGCAAACAGGCTTGGAATTAAATGGTGATAAACAAATAATTCCAACATTTTCAAAACAAAATAAAAATGATAAAATGTTATTTCTTTCATTTATTTGTTTATTTTTTTGCAGCTGGGCTGGTCAATCGGGCCTGAACACTTGATCAAACACCTCCAGACTGTTATGCAGAACAGTCTCTATACATGTCCGACCCCATTACAGGTGAGTTTTGTCTGTTATTATAGAGCTGTACACAATGCACTGTTCTAGGCGATGTGTTTGTGACATGGTTGTACTGCTCGGTAGGAGGCTGTTGGCCAGGGTCTTCTTCGGGACTTTGAGCTGATGGGTAAACCCGACTGCTACTTTACCTCTCTAGCACTAGAGCTGGAAGGGAAAAGAGACCGCATGGCAGCCATGTTGAGACAGACTGGCATGACTCCAGTGGTCCCGGAGGGAGGATACTTCATGATAGTGGATGTCACAGCACTCAGTAAGTGGCTCGAAGTGACATTTGTTAAATAAAAAAATACTTACAAAGGCAAAGGTGACATTGTTTGTGGGAAGTTAAATCTGATTAGTGTTGTTCTGTCTTGTCTGTTGAATATAGATCAGGACTTGTCACATATGGGGGATGATGAACCATATGACTACAAGTTTGTAAAATGGATGATAAAAGAGAAGGTATTCTGTTTTGTGATTTTAGGAATAAATAACAAGACAAAGCACAGTAAAATGCACAGAATTGTCTTCAAAATTATATATATATATATATATACTGTATATATAATTTATTTTTATTTTATTTTTTAAGAAACTGGCTTCGATTCCTGTAACAGCTTTTGTGGGGGAAGATTCAGTAAAGCAGTTTGAGAAATACATTCGTTTGTGCTTTATCAAGGTGAGGAGTGGGTTAACTTTAGGTTTTTACCGGAAATGCAAAAGATCATTCAGATATCTAAAGACAGAATAGCTAAATATTTAGCTGTCTTTCCTTTCTGAAACGGTCTGAATGTTGCAGAGATGATTTTAAAATAACAACTGACATCAAATGCCTTACTAGTGCTGATGGTGTTTAATGGTTTTTTTACTACAGCAAGAAAGCACCTTGGATGCAGCAGAGGCCATTCTGAAGAGCTGGAACAAA